GGAATTCAAGGAACCATCTTGACTCGAGGTTTGCATGAAGGGGGAGAAAATGTTCATTACCTTTAACCGAGCTCTTACGACAAGGCACAAGCATTGACACAACTACCACCTTGATTACAGGCATGAGTTGTCTCAGGCCATCTACAGGTGTCCCATCTGTTAGAGGGTGAAACTTTCGATCCGTTGGGTAAACGGAAGGACCAGCCTTATGATCAAAGATCTTTGACTAGATAAAAAGTAGCATAAATTGGGGTAGTAATTAGCCATTAAAAAAGCACACCAAAAAAAAAAAAAAAATTTGACAAATAGAGGTAACTCATGAGCTCGAGCTACCACAGGCCGGGTAATGAAACCACTGCCTTGTCTCTCTTAATCTCTTTAGAGAGAATTCCTTCTATAACTTGTTTTTCCTCTTAGATATTGATCTCAAAATTCTTGATACGTGTGAAACAATCTCCTTAGCATTATTACCAACTATCATCTACAATTTTTGTGTGAACAAATCCTTTTCACACGTATGTATATATGAGTAAGGACTTAATTCAGTTACTTGATTTGATCTTTTTACTGTGCTGGACCTCTTAATTTTTAATTTTTATTTATTTAATTTTTTCTTTTTTCTTTTTTCTGTTAGAAAATTTATTGTCAGCTAAAAATGGATTGAATCACAACCATTTATTTATTTCAACAAAGTGAGGGTAGGAAAACGTTGTCTTGAATTAGAAAGTGTCCCAGGGAACTTTTTTAGTGGCTGCCACAGGAGACCATTAAATGTACCAATAGTTGTGAATAAACTGTGATACACATAATTTCAAAATACGGCACATAAAATTAAGAGCATTAGAAGATTTTATTATTTAATTATTTAATTATTATTTTTTTTGAGAATTATTTATTTAGTTTTTTTTTTCAGCTTATTTATTTATTCTTAATTCCTTTTGTATTCAAATGTTTGTTTATATTTTAATTGTTTGATATCCCTTATATTCTGTGCTCGGACTTGATTACCCGTGACTCTAGAATCGAAGGGTATCACATAAATCACTCAAGAAAAAATAGCAAGGTCCACACCATTTTATTTTTTTCTTTCCCAAAAGTTAAGATGCGTCCTCATTTTTTACTGGATATCACAAAAGTGAAGTACAAATTTTTTTTTCTTTATCTTTCCTATTCTTCTCGACCGGTAGAGTTTACCTAGATAGTGTATAGACTCGAGTAGCATATGCTATGTGTTTCCATGTTAAGGTGTTTTTATATGTTAAAAGCATGCTTAATTTGACTACTTGTTATTTTTTTTTTAAGTTAGGCCATGATTTAGTGATAAAGCATGTTAGAGCATCTCCAATAGGATTGCCTTATGAGTTGCCAATTCAAAATATAGAAGGTAGGTTAAAATTGGGCTCTCCAATGAACTGTTATATGGCCTACCAAAATTTGCCTTTGCCATTTTTGGTGCCAAATCTAACAAAGCAAATAGCAATTGATATTTGTCTTATTTTGTTGCTTGCCATCTCTCTCTCTCACTCCCGTCCATTTGCAACGACCGTCTCTCTCTCTCTCTCATCCATCTGCAACGACCGTCCATTATCGACGGTGACCGGTGCTTAAAGGTGACGAACACCACCTCCTGCTTCTGTTGTTTGATTTTTGTATTTTCTCTTCCCTTACAGACCTTGATTAGCAGTTGTAGAGAGAAAGGGGGGCAAGCTTGAGAGTTGAGAGACAGCGGCTGAAGCTTGTGAACGGCGAACCCGAACTGGAACAGCAGGCGATGGAAACTGAAAGATATGGGTTTTGATTTTTTGAACAATCTGAAATGATACGCCGATATGGGTTTTGATATAGGTAATAGGTTTTGAACTTTGGATTCTTGTAGACAGATGGATAAACTGAAATATAAGGGTTTTGAACTTCTAATTCTTATAGATTTTGTAGTTTGCAGTTGTAGAGAGGGGGGTCGTTCTCAGAGTTGAGAACGAGAATAGAGATGAAGGCGATTGGGGAGGCTGAAATGATTTGCCCTAAATATATATATTTAATAATAATATAATCAAATATATATAATATACATATATATATATAATATATAAATTTTTGAAAAAGAAAAAAAGAATTATATAAAAAATTTAATTCACAAATAGTGGTAAAAAAATTATAAAAATTTTGTTTTTGTTTTTTTGTGTTTTTTTTTTTTTTTTGGTCCTTTTTTGACCAGATAGTTTAGATTTTTGCTTCTTTTTAATTAGGTTTAATTTTAATTTGTTTCTAATGTCTACAACTTGACTTGGAATGTGCCTAATGTTAATATTACTAATGCAAATATGAATGGTGGGAATGGTAATTGAAAAAGAATAGTGGTTGTGTCAAAAAAATAATATTGTGCATAAAATGCACTATTAGAGCAGAATTGCTAAAATATAATATTTTGATACTATAATACCTGTTAAAATATAAATTTGAAGGTGACTTTATATTTTATTACTTCCCTAGTGCATAAGCATGTGGAATTGTTGTCATGCAGTGTATAGTACCTTATATGTGTTTGTTAGTGTCGTGTTTCATGCTTTGCCAAGTGGGTTAGTGTGTGGATTTTAAGTGCATGAAAATGATTAATTAACTCATATCTTTATTAATCATTTTATTTTTTTTTACTTTTTATTTTTTATTTTTTATTTTTGTCATTTATAGAATCATGCCCCTAAGAAGACATAGAGAAACGGATGGGACTCAGGGTTAGGGACATGATTGCAACTTTAGGTGACAAAGGGCTTTTATTTATTTATTTATTTATGACGTGGGAATCAACGCAATCACGCGCCTTTCGGGTGTGTAGCTATCAGGTAAATCTCCGGCTACCGATTCCGGCCCCACATTGTAAACAGTAAGTTAAGTCAAAGTTTATAAAAGTGGCAAGGCTTGAATCTTGAACCTATAGGTGTCCAAGTCAATACCTTACCAACTCAACCAAGCCCCTGTGGACTTTATGTGACAAAGTTGCTCGCCCTCTTAAAACTTTTAGGGTTGTATTGGGTTTGATGGAATTGAAATTGAAATTAATGAAATTGGAGAAAAGTAATTCAGAAATTTGAATTAAAATTTTCTCTTATTTTATCAATTCTAATTCTAATGTTCCAATTCCACACCGCCAAACACGTCTTTAGGAGTAATGCTATCAAAACAACTAGGGTTATGAGCACTTGCATTTAACTATGGACTAAATTGAGATAGCTTTTTAAAATCTATGAAAAGTCAAATAAATTATTTATTACATCTTTTAATAAAATAGTTAAATATGAAAATCTCGTGACTCTTGTCAGAGTCCTCTCTTAATAATATTATTCCATTTTTAAATATTACATGAGAGGTTAAATCTATAAAGGTGGATGTGTAATAAATGCATTTTGACTCGAGTATTGTATTTTTATTATCTTTGTTTTTTAAGCCAATCTTTCTAATAGCATAAATGTATTATATTATATAAAATAAAATAATTTTGAAATAAAAAAATCACCTAGCAGGTGTGAATTTATTTCTACAATACTATGTTGTTTTGGTTTATGTTGTTGATAGATGATCACTAGTGACAATCGAGATGAAATATATAAATTCAAGACTTTTTCACGCAAGTAATTTGCTATTAAAGGTTTATAAGTTTTAAAGTAATTTATTGAATTAAAAATTGCCTACTATAAAGAACATATTTCTTAATTAATGAAAGTACTTGTTGGATTTGTTACAGAAAATTAAAATTGGAAGTAAGATAATCGGACAGTTCTATTAATAGTGGGGATAAGTTTTATTAACAGGGGCGATATGCTTAGTGACGATGGTGTTATTTTATGATATTGGTCAATTTCAAAGATTAATAGGTAGATTAATTTATTTTACTATTACTCTCAGCCTGGTAACTCATATACAGTTGGTTTGGTCATTTTATTTATGCATACACCAAAGAATATATTAATCAGATGAATGTTGACGATAGAATTTTGCATTATTTGAACGGATGACCGAGAAGATGTATATGTATGCCTAAGAATTGACACAAATATTCCATTATTTTACATTTACACTAATGTTGATTGGGTCGAGTGCCTAATTAATCGAAATACAACCGAATATTGTATCTTTGTTGGAAGAAATTTGGCAACATAGACTAGCTAGTAAGAAACAAGTTATTTGGCTTGGAGCTTTAGTTCATTTCAACCGACAAAAATATTTTGTGATTAACAAGCGGCAACGTATATTGTTTCAAATTCAATTTATCACGAGTGGACTAAATATATTGAGGTGGATTATCATTCTGAACACACAAATATTAGGAATGACCTACCAACAATATTTTCACAACAACTTGAGGGGCATTGTGTCATATTGTGTGCTATTGTCATTGTCATTATACAATGACTAAAACTAACTTCGATCTCTTCTTTAACAAAATTTCAAATTTTATATTTTAAATGTAATATCATAAAACGTGTGGGGGGTACACAATAATTTTTTTGAACTATATGCCAAATATTTATTGTAAATATTGCAATATAATAAAAGGATCTAAACCAACCCTTTTCGTTTTTAATTTTTCAAAATTATATTTAGGTTTTAATACCTAATTTAGTAAAATATAATTGGACCACATGAAAAATTCTTTAGCATGACTCCGGAAAAAAGAAAAACAACATTCATAAAACATTTATTACACCTATTTATACGATTTAATTCAAGAATGAAATATTTATATTACATTTAATCCCTGTACTTTTTGTCTTAAACTCCATATATATAACTCAAAAGAGTAATTAATTTGTATAAATTAAAACCTAAAGACCCACAAAATCCTAAAACCAGATCCGCGACTTTACACAAAGCACAAAGTGCGTGGAGACGTAAATAAAATAAAATAAAAGAATGAACGGCCGAGATTGTCCGAATCTTACACGTGCCAAGTCTGAATTTAATAAAGAGCTCCAGCTACACAAGTGAGAAATACAGGTACGTATCATCATCTCATTTATGAACCCACCACCACTACTCTTCTACTCCTCACTACTTATTTATTCATCACACACTCACACAAACAAACTTATGATCCCCACCCCTCTCTCTCCACCACTTTCTCTCTCTACAAATATATACACGTATATATAATGGTTGGTTTGATATAGACACGGAAGGAAAGAAAGGAGCGAGAGAAGAGAATAATTAATAATGGAGGGTTTAAGGGGGTTGAGGGGGTACTGGAGGAGGAGAGGGTACGAGCGGCTGACCGGAACCGGTCGGAGGCGGAAGAACCGGGTGGAGTTGGCGGCGGGCGGTTCGAACCGGAGGAGGAGGCGGTTCTGGCGGATCAAGATCACGCCGAAGCTGCGGTTCTCGCCGAAGAAGTTCCTGATTGGGCTGCGGGACGCCTACGTTAATATGATGCTTCGGCTGGCGAGCTCCAGGGCGATCAACGGTGGAGGAATGGGTGGGGCCCTCGGGGACGGGATCGGAGGGTTCGGGAAGGGCCCACTCAAGGAGTACGACGAGAGGATGATCGTTGAGATCTACAAGTCGTTGATGGTGGCGCAGGGACAACTGGTGCCCCGCGATGCAGCCAGGATTGGTCCCCAGAGATGGTAATTGAATAATGAATAAGTCGATTTTATTCTGGAAGAAAAAAAAAAAAAAAGAATAAATCGATTTTATTTTCACTACCTTTTTTTTTTTATCCGTTTTAATATTGTTGATGTAATTTTAACAAGTTAGTCTGTTACTAATAGTCTAATAATAAGTTGGATCATGCTTTTAGATTTGAACATATGCATATATATACATATACATATATATATATATATGTATATATTAAATTTGATAACTAATTTAGCTTTTTTTTTTTGTTGAACATTAATTTTTTCTTAGTCCTTAGATTTTTGGATGGGTAAAAGCGCATTTTATATGGTCAGTGATGATATTCAACGGCGAGAATTTAATTCGCGAATAAATCCTTTTCGGACAAATGAACAAATTAGTCATTTAATCATATAAATTATAAGCATATATATATATATATATATATATATATATGTATGTTAAATTTGATAACTAATTTATCTTTTTTAAGTTGTTGAACATTAATTATTGTTTTTACCTTAAATTTCAAGAAAATGTTGACTTGCTTCCTGGTGCAGCAAATCTTCTATGTCAATGACTAAAAGCGCATTATACATTTGAAGTCAAGGCGAGAATTTAATTAGCAAACAAATTCTTTTCGGACAAATAAATCAAATATATATGTGTGTGTGTGTGTGTGTAATATATAAATTGGACAAATATTGAAGTTGTGAAGTCCAATTGAGTCAAGGTGGAATGATGATGTTAACTAAGTTGTGAGAAGTATGGAATTATAGGGCATTAATAATGATAAATCATCCCACTAAATAGAGACTAGACATGTCGAATGATAACTTATTAGAGAGGGAAAGTGAGAAGAACATGAATTAAATATGTTGAACAAGTAGCTAGGTTTTGTAGTTTGGTGAGCATTGATTATTCTGCTAAATTTATTTATTTCCTGAACATTAATAAAACAAAAAAATTAATGTTTTTTATTATGCCAATAAACATGGTTGTTAGCCAACAAGAAGCTTGAATCGGTGAAACACACGAAACTAACAAGTTTGAACCGTTGAACAACACGAAAATGTTCACTTGCTTTCTAGTGCATATGAAGGAAAGTTTAGACGTGACTCAAGTTCTAGCCTTATTATAAATGCAATTTATGTTATTAATTAGAGATGATATTCAACGGTGAAGTTTTAATTTGCCGATAAATTCTTTCTAGGTGGAAAAAAAAAAAAAAAAAACTGCACATATTCTTTTTTTTCATACCCGAACTCGAACCTCTCCCCTCTTTTTCGAGAATGGGGTGATTATATGCGGTATCAAATGCCCTTTGCAAAGTTGTGTGTGTGTATATATATCTATGAAATTAATAAAGGGAATGAGTTACAATAAATCATCCCACTAAATAATATTCTATATAAAGAAGAAGAATAATAATAAGTAACTGATTAAAAAGGGTAAATGGGAAGAACATGAATTAAAGTTGCTGAGGAAGTAGCTGGCTAAGGTGGGACTGAGGTCAAGTGTGTGGTTGGTCATTATTAATGAGCGTAAAAAAATAAAGTTTAAATTGAGTATAATAGATTTTATTGTAAATAATAAATTACCTAAAATATATATATATATATATATATATATATATATATATATTCACGAAAAATTACTTAAACTGTTTTAAAAATTTTTACTTAAGTTTTTTATTTAAATTTATGCAAATTTAATGAAGAATATATTATTAAATTAATATGAATTTTTTATAGTTTATTTCAATTAAAAAAATAGGTTAAATTGTACTGAGCCTTATAATCATTTAACAAAAAATAATCTCCTATAAGGGTATTTTGTAAATAAAAAAAATATATAATAATTTAAGAGATATTATGCACGAAATAGTTTATTTACAAATTCAGACTGCATTTTAACAATAAAACAAAAGAGTCAAAGTATTACGTGGGTCCCAAGACGCTTGGGACTTGGGGTTTTGGGAGTCAAAATGGGCTTGGTGGGCCCTAGTTAATGGTTACAGATTCGAAAGAATCCAGTTATGAAAATGAAATGTAGTGTTTGGGTAAGATCAAAGATGCTATCGTCGGTCATTTTTAATTAGTTGGTAGTGGGCCATTTATTAATCAATGCTTATTATATACATTAGAGCATTAATAATCAGTTAAAGTATTCGCGCCAAACAAATAGACAGCTTTTTGTTACCCTACCAACCCCTTTTCAAACCTTATTACCTCATCAACTCTCATTAATTTATTTATTTATTCACAAAGAAGATATATATTACAGTAAATATTCTTACAATCAGAGTACCATGGCCCCATTTCCCGGAAGAAGTTTAATTGGTTTCTTTTTTTAACCAAAAAATAAAAAATTTGTATACATTTTTGAAATAATGCACATTGACAATTTGATCTCGTGGCAAATATAAGATTCATATATATTTTGTAATAAATATTTGTGTTTCCAACTAATAAATATGGATGTAAGACATCCATATACAAATTTAATATTCTGTGATAATTAGAACACAATGGATTAATCACTTTGTTTTGTGGTTTTTGCCTATTCTTAAGATAATTTTATTATTATTATTATTGACCTGGGATAGAAAATATTCATTTCATAATTTTTTTATTTTTTATTTTTAATCTCTCTCATTCTCTCGTGCTCGTATCTAAGAGCATCTTCAGCAATATATTAAAATATTTTTTTGTGTAAAATATATAGTGTCACGTATGATGTGTAAATTTTTTTTTTATCTGTAGTAGTTGTTAAGATACACTGTCATATCATTTTTGTGTAAAATTGTTGTATATTTTACACAACATTTTTACATAATCACATCAGCATATTTCCTTTCTCCTCCTTCTTTCTCATTCCATTAACAAATCAACCCTATATTAAGTAGGTTTGTAAAAATTATGTAAGTCCAGACATGATAATGGCTAGTTGTTATTGGGGATATATTTTAATATATTTTTACACGAGGTACAAAGCAACCGTTTTTTTTTATTTTTTATTTTATTTTTTATTTTTTTTTATGTAAATCTATTATGACAAATCAGATTTACACAAAAAATAAATATACACAACGATTGGAGATACTTTAGACATTTAATCTTTTTTTCCTTTCATAAAAAAAATATCCACCTCACAAAAATTTTTAATTCCCATTTTTTTTTTTTTCTTTTTCATCCTTCACATTCTGATACTACTATTTACTACCATGCCCCACATTGTAGTGCCTATTGCCTAACACAAGTCAATTACAACATCAAGTACCACTATAAATCTAAAAGTGGCCAAATATTCCACCTATGGTTAGGAAATAAATCTAAAAATAGCCTCTCTTTGTTTTCTTTTTTACAATTTTGATGTGATGTATTATGTATGTGACAAGAGATATTGGTTGATGAGGTTTACTTTTTTTTTTCTTTTGGAAATTACCAGGAACCAGGTTGTTAATGTTGTCGTTAATTTGTATATTTGTCTTTGACATTGATGTTTTTTTGTTTTTTAAGCAAAGGTGTTAGTGGTTAGAAGAGAAGGGGATAGGTGGCTCGAAACAAGATTCACACACCACATTGTGAAAGTTGGCAGGCAACAGAGCACACCTAGTTGAGCGATTAATATCTAAAATAAATGTGTTTGTATATTTCTTGCTAATTAATAAAAAATAAAAAATAAAACAAAACAAATTTGATATCAGAACATCTTTTAGAAGAATACTTTCAAAAATTATGTCAAATTAGGATCTTAATGTTGTCGTTGATATGCATGGTTGGCTTTGGCGATTGATTTTTATTTTTTTTATTTTCTGGCTGAGGAGTCAGAAGTTAGCGGGGAATGAATTGCTCGAACTAAGGCTGAGACACCACATCATGGAGTTTGCCCCCCAATGTAGTTGTACGTCTTTTTCCGTTTGAATTTCGCTCTTAACTTACGCTGGGGGAGTATATATATATATATATAAATAAATAACTATATATATATATATATATATATATATATTTATTTATTTCTAAGTATCGGAAGATCTGTTATAATATTGAGAATAAAGCTGTCATTAGAATGCAAATCTGTCTGGACTTTTGGATGCCAAGAAACTACCTGTCCCAAACCTTAGTGATAAGCATCAACCATTATGAGTATAATTAAAAAAAATTAATAAGGTACTTTTATTGCAAAACGTTTAGTAAATAATGCTCAACTCACTTAAATAGTGTTTAAAAAATCTAAATTATGGAGTGATGTAACACCGACACCTAAGTTCTCTAGAATAATGAAATATATGCCCTGGAAATATGGTCCCAATTGGTTCTCTCTCTTCTCTCTCTCTCTCTCTCTCTATATATATATATATATATATATATATATATATATATATACGGACTGATTAATTTAGTGTAACTTCAAGACCCAAAATAAAAGAATTAGCAGCCTACTTTATGGTGTCACATGATCACAAACACTAAAGGAGGCATTGCATCACATTCTCATCTCTTTTTTCTTTGGATGGAGAAATTATTATATGATTTGTGAATCAGTGGTTGCAGGAGTCCCGAGATCGATGTTCACAGTTGCTTATAAGTACATGATTGATCGGGACAATAGGACTTGAGTATCGCAGTCATGAACATTATTTTCCTTTTTTCAAATTATGAAAACAAATGGAAGAGAAGGTTGACTCAGATAACAAGAAAATACACACATATATGGATTGAGACACAAACCTACAATTAAAGTAGGTCGGCCTAATTTCTTGTCTGGGCCGAGTGGGTTTTGGGGCAATATCAAACCGTGCCGCTGAACTTCCTATCTTATTTACATGGAAATCGTGAAAGCACGTACATTTCTATAAAAGAGTCATATCTGTATTGGATATCAATACTTTAAGAACATTTTTCGGACACGACACTTCACGTGTCCATAACACCTAGTTGACATATCTTCGATACTTTCCAGATACTTGACCAAAATTTTCTAATATTTCTAGTCTAATATTTCTAACATAAAGTTTTATGTACACAAACATATGTAGAGTAGTCATTCCCAATAATCTTAGAAATAATATAAATACATTCTAAAGTATAATTTTGTTCTTTAAAAAAAATTAGGCCGTATATATTTTGTCACAAGTGATCCCAATAACATTGTAACCACAAGGTAGTGGAATAACGGTGTATGT